AAACAGAAGGAAGTCCAGCTGGTTATAAGGGAGTTACTAGATAACGGATATCCTTCCAGCTTTTTACGAAAAATCCTTAAAAAGCTAAGAAAGCCCACGGAGTCAAAAGCAAAAAGGACAGATTGGATTGCGACAAGTGTTATCCCATATCGCCGCAATACATCGGAAGATATTCAACGTATTCTAAACAGATATAACATACGAGTGGCATTTCGGGCAACCAACACACTTCGCTCAAAGCTGATGTGACTCAAAGACAAGCGACCTAAAGAGGAGCAATCCAATCTCATCTACAAAATAAGATGTAAACAATGTCCGGCCACATACGTTGGACAAACGAGCCGACAATCGAAGCAACGTTTAGCTGAACATGATAGGAAAACTGGGAAAGCAACAAAAAATACCGAAGAACTTGGGACACTTGAAAGAGACTCAGCAATCGCGCTACATTCTATCGCCGAAGGACACTTGATAGACTTCAAAAAACCAATTATTTTGAAACAAGGTTTTCGGTCATATAGAGAACGACCGATCACGGAGTCATTGTTCATCAACGGCTATCCGAATTGCGTTATTCGATCGGACGGAGCTCAATTATCAGTCCACTGGCTTGACTTCGTTTAACCTTTCACTCACAGACACACACACACACCGGTTCTTTCCCCACCATAGGTTTTCACACACTCTCTAATCTCCTATAATCTATTACGTCACTTGTTCATTTTTCTGACTCTTGATACATTCGTAATCACACACAAACAGTGCTTTCCTTACCCAGAGACCAATCACAAAGCCCCGGTTTTTCTATAAGTCAAACCAATTTCACTGGTCCCAACCACCTGTTGAACGATCACAAACACACACACACATGTACATGCACATACACGCATGCTCGAATCACGTCCGAGTTCTATACGATGTCATCATCCCATCGCCTTGTAATTGCCTGTAACGTGAGATTAACCGATTAAGCGACTTGAAAAAGGCCTTCCAAGAGGGTCGAAGTGTTGTCACCAAGGGCTTTGTGTTTTGGTTTTCATTCGTCGTGGCTAAGACAAACTAATTTCCTCAAGATTTTAATATTTCATTCATGCCCCGACCCACCCAGGCGTTCGCCCAACTTCCAGCTCCCGTGCTTTGCTGGGTATGACTATCCCATCACATTCACTTACAAGTACAGCAATCCAATCAACCGCAAGCCTATTTCATTATTAGCGGATTAGTCAAGTTCATATTTTTTCGCTTGACCGAAACAAAAGACTGTTGAAACGAAGCAGTCACAAGTACATTGCATTTGGTATACTTTTAGTTATAAAACCCGAGGCTCGAACCTTGTCACCGGCAATCAACTTTGGTGATAGGTAGCTTCGCACTTGTTCGGTTCAACAACGCACCTGGTCTATTGGGGCTCTATATTGGTCATAACTCCAAATCCCAGGGCTTAGGTTATCAGGTATCGTCTGACCCTGGGGTTTACGCGTTCTACCGTTTCAGTTCACGCAGATAGGTGACAAAAGGTCACAGAAACGGAAATAGTGCATATAGAAAACAAAAACACCGATACAATCATCCGCAACAAACTCTTACAGTTTTTGTATGACTTGATTTTTATATACACCGCGACGATTGAGCTGCAACTTGGGCCGTCCCCGTCCTCTGCGTACTTGAGATGAAGCCGATTTACCGGGCTGAGTGAGCGTGTGGCATGTGGAATCCTCGTCTTTGTGAAGCAATTCAATTAGTTCCGCATTAGACATGACTTCGATGGGAGGCAATTCGACATCAAACTTGCGTTTCGTTCCATCCACTGATTGCGAATGTGCGTCAGAGGATGTGCGTCGCTTCACTGTTCTTTGATTGGCTTCAGGTGTTCGGGGATTTGAGGCATCGGATGAAGTAGCTACCTCATTGGATTCCTTGGTCAGTGCTCGATGTTTTTTAGATCCTCTTTGTCTCATGTTCGTGTGACGACATTTGGCAACGGCGGCACGATGTGAGCTGCAATTCATAAAAGGACAGTAAATGAGGAAAACACACATGAGGCAGAACACAATGAACAGTTTTAACTCCGGAACCAAGAACTCAAAGTAGGGTGTTACCAAACCACACAACGTTAGTCATATTGTTGTTCTAAAAGCCAAAACTGAAACATCACGAGACGAAAGGGAGGAGGGGGAATCACGTGGTTATTTCCGATGTGTTTGGATTTGCTGAAATTTAGTCGTGGTAAAAGTTCGCATACTAGATATTTATACAACCGATGTAATTGGCCCTAATCACAGAACCACAATTATTGCAATAGTCCGAATTCCACCCAAATGCAAATAACATAAAATAAAACAAACTTGAAGAGGCAATTCTAGGCTACCAAGCTTGGATTAGCCCATTCGACTATTCACGGACACCAGGCACTTGCAACCCCGAAGGTTCGTTGTTAGAGTCCTGACAGGAACACAAAAAGTACGCACTGTTGACGAGTCCCCAACAGGACGAAACAACTGTCCAGTGCTCTTTGTGGGTTATACCAAACACTTCCATCGCATTTGAAGAAACAATCCTGTGAAACAGCATACCCAGTACTATACTACTACTACTACTACTACTATTAACCTTACCGGTTGGGAGATTTTTTTGCTACTTTCCACTGTGTGATGAACAACAGAAGGGATAACGAGCTATAGTCTAAAGGATATAATGTTTTCTTGTGATGGTTGGTAATTAAGCCCTGGGATTTCACGTGGCGAACCAGAAAACCCAAATAGGTCAGGCACGCTATTGAGCCGAACGACAGCAAAGCTGTCTACTAAATAAGTTTGGCGGTGAACTGGAAGGGTTTGAAACAAGAACCATAGGGCCCAAAGCACTCCAATGACTACGAACATTTAGCCAGCACCACCCATCTCATGCGACACAACGTGAGGATGTGACGTGCGAGCAAAAATATGTATGTCAAAAGTGTCAAACGTCAGTTTTTCAGGAAATGCTCTCGATATATTTCCTGTAGTCCATTGGACACGAATAACATTTGGCAAGGAATCACAGGCGTTTATATATAAACCTGGACCAATCGGATTGTTCGGTCTGCAAAATTAAAGTCTTATATGGACCAATCATAAAAACACAA